TAGTCCAGACGGACGCCTTCGCCGGGCAGCAAAAGTGAGTCTGCACCCTGCGGCGCTCGCTCCCGCCCTCCCCTGACCTTGACCCTCGGTCCTGCCGCGATGCGGAGGGGCGCCGCAGTCCGCACTGGTTCGGAAAGTCGAGGTACGCGTCTCGCCCCGGCTTCTAGGGGGCTCCAAGCTGGGGCGGGGACGGCCCTGGTGGCCCGAGCCCTGCGGGAGGCTAACCGAGCCGGAGGTCGAGGCGCAGGCGGGGAGGACGCTGTGCGCCGGGCCGCGTGGGGAGACAGGCCTCAGGGGGAGCAGGCTTGCCAGACTCCCGAGGAAGCCGCGGCCTCGGCCCGGGACGGTCTCGCGGGCTGCGGGCGTCCGGCGCTCACTGTGGCCGGACAGCGCCCAGCGCTTTGCAGCCGTTCCCGCGTCGTGCTGGCTGTGGGGGCGGTGCGGCTGTCCCACGGCGGACCACAGCCCTCTTGGACAGGTAACACTGAGGCCGGAGAGGGCATGACTTGCCCCAAGTCGCCGAGCCAGTGAGCACTGCAGCGCGTCCCCGCCGCGTCCTGGAGAACTTCACTGCTCCTGCTGCAGGGGTTCTGACTGCAAGCTCTGGGCCCAGAACAGGCATGACAGCGGGCTTACACGGGCTGTGTGGCGGGGAGGGGCCAGGGTTTTCCTGCCTTCCTTCCAGGGATGACAGGTGGGAAAACGCTGGCAGGAGCTTTTTATACCATTTTTAATTAGGCAGAGCTGTAACATCTAGACTAGTAGCAAAAACTAAAGTGATTACAACGAGGAGGGTTATGAAGGGTTACAGGGTAATTAAAAAAAAAAAAAAGAATTATTTAACCTTTTTACTTGTTTACTTATTTTAATTTGACCAGAGAGGGACAGAGTGAGAGCAACAGAGAGAGAGAGAAAGAGAGAAAGCAAGCCACCAGGTGGAGGACTCGAATCTCGGCCCATGAGGCGGTCCAGCACACCTGCTGGCCTCCCAGGGTAACTTTTTAAAAAGAATTATTTGTTTAATCTAATTTTATTTATTATTATTACTTTTTTTGAAAATTGACCAGAATGAGAGAGGAGAAAAGTGAGAAAGCAAGCTGCCAGGGTCAGGACTTGAACCATGGTCAACAGTGTAGAAGTCCTGCACCTCAACCACCATGCCACCTGCTGGTCCCATTACAGGGTAATTCTAAGGGTGGGGAGAGTGACCATTACAACTGCGTGAGGCCTAATTCAGACTGGATGGACAGGCTTTTTTTTAGCTCTTTATATTTATTTAGTGTTCTTTAGCTTTTTTTTTTTTTTTTGGGGAGATTTTTGCTATAGGGCACGTGAGCTCACCAGAAAGACAGAGACAGAAAGAGAGAAATCACCCCCTGGGGGGATGGCCATGCAGCAATCCCTTCTCCTCCAGTCTCCTCTCGGGATCTTGGGCACGCACGCACATACACCCAGCGCAAGTTTAAGCCACCAGGTGCAGGACTCGAACCGCAGTCAGCTACATGGGAGTCCAGTGACATAGCCATTACACCAACTGCTGGTCCCTATATTTACTTAATTTTTATTTAACCATTGTTTTGGTTACTTATGGAAAACAAGGCTATTTAAAGTATTTTTTTTTTTTTTTTTTTTTTTTTTAAGAAAAGTAAAACCAAGCTAGCCTTATATTAGCTAGTCTCATTTTATTTAAAGGCTGAATTACTGGACACGAGATTTTCTTAGTGCTTCTCAAGTTTTCTGTGCCTTCAGTATCTACGTGTTGCCCAGAATGGCCGTGAAGTGTCACGCTATGTGTCAGAAGGCATGCCCAGAGCTTGCAGACGGCAGGAGAGGGTTAGCTTGCCTGTTTTTTGGGAGTCTCTTTGTAGTTTAGAAATGAGAGGAGGGCATCCAAACAGAATTTTAAAAGAGCCAGATTATTCAGGCCTGCAGCGACTTGGAAGTGAGCCAAAGGTAACAAAGTAACCATCCTATCCTGTTTCCTGGCACAATTTAGCCAGGGTGTCTTTTTTTTTTTTTTTTTTTTTTGAGAGGTTTTTGCTATAGGGTGCGTGCGTTCACCAGACAGAGAGAGACAGAGAGACAGAAAGCGAGAAATCGCCCCCCAGGGGGGATGGCCACACCGCAATCCCTTCTCCTCCTTTCTCCTCTCGGGATCTTGGGCACGCACACGCACCTGGCATGAGTTTAAGCCACCAGGTCCGGGACTCGAGCTGCAGTCGACTACATGGAGTCCGGCGACACAGCCATTATGCCAACTGCTGGTCCCAGCCAGGATAGTCCTAAATGTCTGGCTCATGCACTTAACTTGCTTTGAGCCCTGGGGTTGGTGGGCAGTGTAGAGCTTTTATTTGATTTTCAAAATCTCAGCTGCTGCCTGTGTGACAAAGACGAAGGCAGGCCCGTTGAATTTTCCCGAGCAATGCCTCGGCTACTTTTGGGGCCTTTTCTGTTCTGGTGGGGAATGCCTTAACTCAGCCCAAATGGGTGCAGACTAGAGCCAGCAGATACAGGCCCCAGCGTGGACTGACTTAGTGAAGCCCAGGTTTAGGTCCTTATGAGGGGGCTCTCCAGGGGCTGGCTTGGTCTCGGCTGTGTTGTCCCTGCTGTAGGTTCCGCATCTGCTGTTGCCATGGCTGCACAGCGTAAGGAGCTCTGGCAGCAGCAGAGCTCTAGGTTTTAGAATTGTCTGTTTTTTGCTGCGTGGTCAATCAAGTTGCTCACTATTATTATTATTATTAATAATATTATTATTATTTTGCTATAGGGTACATGCACTTGCCAGAGAGACGAAAGAAAGAAAGAAAGAAAGAAACCAGCTCCAGGGGATTGGCCATGTTGCAATCCCTTCTCCTCCGTTCTCCTCTCAGGATTTTGAGCATGCATGCACATGCGCTCGGCATGAGTTTTAAGCCACCAGATCCAGAACTCGAACTGCAATCAATTAAAATAAGTAAATAAGTAAAGTTAAGTAAAAGAATTCTTCTAAAAATTATTTTATTTAACTTTATTTATTTTAATTTGACCAGAGAGGGACCTAGTGACAGAGGGAGAGAAAGAGAGAGGGAAAGTGAGAAAGCAAGCTGCCAGGTCCAGGATTTGAACCCTGGTTAGCCATGTGGGAGTCCAGCGCCCTTAACCATGATACTACCTTAACCACCACACTACCTTCTGGCCCCAATCCTCAATTTTTTTTTTCTTTTTTTTGGGAGAGGTTTTTGCTATAGGGTGCATGCCCTCGCCAGAAAGAGAGAGAGAGACAGAGAGACAGAAAGCGAGAAATCACCCCCCAGGGGGGAATGGTCACGCCGCAATCCCTTCTCCTCCATTCTCCTCTCGGGATCTTGGGCACACAGGTACACGCACCCGGTGTGAGTTTAAGCCTCCAGGTCCGGGACTCAAACCACGGTTGACTACGTAGGAGTCCAGCGACATAGCCATTACGGTAACTGCGGTCCCTCCAATCCTCAATTTTAAAAGCCCCACATGGATGTTAGAATTTCTGAGCAAGCTCCCTTTAGAGCTCAGTGCATTCCGTCTGTAGTGACTAACTCCACACTGGGGACAAGACTCCAGTGGGGGACATGAGGATGCCAGTCATGGGCACGTATCTAGTGCCCAGGCTGCCCACATTGAAAACAGAGTTTCTTTCCAAGGCAGAGGCTCTGATCAGGGCTGTTTGCAGATCTTACCTTCGGAGAAGTTTCTAGTTTTTAGGATTCCTACAAGTGACTACTGGGTGCCATTGAAGTGAGAGTTAAAAGTTATGGTGCCTTACCAATTTTAATGACATTTCTTTTTTGGTTACCTGAGAACTTTTTAATATTTGTTCTGATCTGTGAGAGATTTGTGTGTGTGTGTGATAACAGATCAGTTTAATTCTAGCACCTGAAGCTATACAAGGGTATGCTTTATAAAGGGAACCTAAGGGGGCCGGCAGGTGGCATGGTGGTTAGGGGTGCTGAATTCCCACATGGCTGACCATAGTTCAAGTCCCAGACATGACGGCTTGCTTTCTCACTTTCTTTCTCCCTTCCCCCAACCCCCGTCAAATAGATATGAAGAATAAATAAAGTTAAATTTTAAAAAACAAAAAATAATTGACATGAACCTAAGTTCCAATAGATCCTGCAAGGAGCGGCTGAGTACTGCCAGGAGAGTGGAGCCCAGTGTACAGTTTTGATACCATATACTCTAGAGAAACCCCCTTTTTTTATTGAAATTTTTAATTATATAGTTAAGGATGGTGGGTTTTTGTTTATTTGTCTTAAAGAGATTTATGCTATATTGTGTGTGCTTGACAGAGACAGACATAGAGACAGAAAGCGAGAAATCACCTCCCTGGGGGATAGCCATGCCGCAATTCCTTCTCTATTCTCCTTTAGGGATCCTGGGCACATATGCACACACACCCAGGGTTGAGTTTGTGGGGTTTTTGTGTTTTTTTGTTTTTTGAGAGTTTTTTGTTTTTTGAGAGGTTTTTGCTATAGGGTGTGTGTGCTCGCCAGAAAGACAGAGAGAGAAAGAGAGACAGAAAGTGAGAAATCACTCCCCAGGGGAGATGGCCACGCCGTAATCCCTTCTCCTTCATTCTCCTCTTGGGGTCTTGGGCATGCACGCACATGCACCCAGTGTGAGTTTAAGCCACCAGGTTTGGGACTCAAACAGCAGTCGACTACATGGGAGTTCAGCGACATAGCCATTATGCCAACTGCTGGTCTCCGCCCAGGGTGAGTTTTAAACTGCTGTGTCAGGGACTTGAACCGTGGTTGACTACATGGAAGTCCAGTGATATAACATTATGCCATCTGCTGGTCTCAAGGTTAGTGAGTTTTAACCTTTTGTCGCCTACACTGTTAGAGTTTCTATAGTACAAAGATCCCTGATTTTTTTTATTAAAGAATTATTTAATTTTATTTATTATTATTACTGTTTTTTTTTTAATGTGACTAGAGAGAGCAGGAAAGTGAGAAAGCTAGCTGCTAGGTCCAGGACTCAAACCACAGTCAGCCATATGGGAGTTCAGCATCTCAAGCACCTACCCACCTCCCAGCCCTGAGATTTTTACTCTTCCTAAGTGTGATATTCCCAAGAGCCTCTCTCAATTAGCAGGTGGAGACAGGCCTTTAGAGCTAAAGCCCGTAAGATTTCCAGGCCCCACCAAGTCTGGAGACACTTAGTCTTCGTTTCATGACAAAAGTAATAATCCATCCAAGTTGGTCAGGGCCAGATACCTAGCAAATGGGCACGAGAGAGGGGTGGGTCCTGCCGATGCTTGGAGGAGGTTTAGACTGGAGAGCTCACAATGCCTCAGACAGAAAAGGGCCTCAGCTCTACCAGGATTCATGAGCAGAGCCCCCAGAAGGGTGGTGTGTGACAGAAGAGGTGACACAGGAGAGGCTCCTTGCTCTCTGCTAATCCAAGAAAAGACTCCTGAGACAGGTGAGTACCTCTTTTGACAAAAGGTGGCTTGAGAAAGGTTGACAAATAAGGTGTCCAGGACAAATACAGATTAGAAATGGTTTGGAAGAAGGCAATGCCAAGAGCCTGGGGACAGAAAGGCCTCTTGGACCTATGAGAAAATCCTTCCTCCCTGTCTGTCCCTCCCTGCAATGGTGTCACAAGACAGACAAGGACGGGTGTCCCCTCCAGAGAGGTGACCAATTGGGCATCTGCCTGGCCATGTCCCTCTAGGACCCCGTGGGTGCCTCTTAGTTTCGGTAGGCTGGTACAAAGTCCTGGCCTGGGGAGAGATGAGGCTCCCCCAGTGCCAAGTGCTGCCCTGAGCCTTAGGAGGTCACTTTGGCAAGCAGGCTAGGACCTGAACAGTCTCCATAGCTGGAGGCTGTGGAGCCTGCAGTCACATTCGCACTCACCCACCTTCCATTCTCCAAGTTAAGAACAGCGCCTCCCCTTTTGGGAGGTCCCTGTCTGTGGTCCTCTGACCACAGGAGGTGATTAATCTCCTCTTCCACTGTACTTGGGGGCCTGACTGGGTGTGCAGTCCCTGGGGATTTACCAGATACCAGATTACCAGACCCTGAGTGTCTTCTAGTGAGTTGGTTCCACTCTGCTTTTGAGTCCTGCTGGAGTTGGTTACTGAGGAATGTCAGACCCAGATGAAGGAGGACCTCGTTCTACCCGGGGCCCTCCATTCCACAGGTCTCCACTGACCCAGTGACTCAGGGGCCAGCAGCTGGCTTCCCGGCTGGGAACCAGAAGTGTTGTAACAGCAGACTGCAGGGAGACCAGGTGCCACCCGGGGAGCAGGGGAGCTGGGACTTAGAGCCAGGGCGCCCAGGAGCGAGCACTCTAAGCTCTGGGTCAGGAACGTGCGGCAGCAGGCTCACGAGGGTGAGGGCTGGAGGGCTCCGAGCGAGCGGAGCGGAGCGGAGAGGGAGGGCCCTTTGTGCTTGGGGAAGTTTGGTTTGACTGAAGGCTGATCTTGCTGTCTGTGGTCTGTCCGGTCAGACTGGCTTGGGCCAGTCTAGCTAGCTGGTCTGCAGCTGCAGGCTCAGGGGCTCACAGGCAGATCATGAGACAGCACTTTCCTGGGCATTGTGCTTTATAGAAGCAGAACAGCACTGGGTTAGGCCCTTACAGAGAGAAAAACTAATGGAAAGAAAGGCAACAAAATTCCCCACAGAACAAAGTCCTTAGGGCTCCCCCCAGCTGAGGGACTCTGCCTGATTTCAGGTGTCCTGGCCCTGGCCCTGGCCAGTCTCCCTCCAAGCCCTGCCTTCGTCTGCTCTCCCAGCCACCCCCCACCACCGGAGGGATTGGGGGGGACCCAGGAGCCAGAGGAGTGGGCACAGCCGGCAGAACCGGCCCTGGCCCCTCTCCCAAGGACAGCCGGTGCTCTGCCTGAGTGATGAACCACTGCCATGCTCCCCAGAGCTGCCAGCGCTGAGGCTGCCCCCCCACACACACACACCTGGAGAGGCCTGGGAGCCCTGGGCTGGGGGCAGGGCTGCAGGGGTGGAGCCTCTGCTCCAAGACAAGAACATTCCTTTGTAGGTGTCTTGGACCTCAGAGACTCAGGCTCAGAGCCCACAGCCCTAGGAAGGGAGGGCTGGAGTCCCCAAGGTCTGCTGGTCCGTGCAGGTGCCTGGGATCAGGTGCCCCCACAATGAAACACAGAAGACTGGCCCTGGGCTTGGGGCTCTGCCTGCTGGCTGGCACGGTCCTGCGTCTCCTGTGGTGAGTCAGCCCCACGGTCCACCATCACCCAGGACTACTGTCCCACGACCTCGGCTCACCTGTCCTCCAGCCCTAGCCCCAGCAAGCCTCAACTAGCTTCGCTTGGCTCCTGAACTTTGCCTTCACTGGCCGCCCGGCCTCTGACTCACTCTGTCCTCTCTCTTGATCATCCTTTGACCTGTGTTGACGAAGAACCCCTACTCATGCCTCCAGATTTACCCCTGTCCTGTGTCGTCCTGGGGTTGCCCCTGCCCACTGTTGTGTGGGGGCCTAGCACCAAGAATATACATGCCAGGGCCAGCCGATGGCGTGGAGGTTAAGGCGACTGGATCTCACGTGGCTGGCTACATGGTTCAAGTCACAGACCCAGTGGCTTGAAAACATACTCACACATGGGGTGTGGATATATGCATACCCAAGTCCTGAGAGGAGGATGGAGGAGACGGGATTGCAGCGTGGCCATCCCCCTTGGGGTGCTTTCTCCCTCTCCCTCTCCCTCCTCTGCAAGCACATGCATCCTATAGCAAACTATAGAATAAGATGAAAATGTATGCATGCGTGCCCCAGGCATGAACGACTCCATGGCTGAATGAATGACTGCGTGCCAGGCCCTGTGTTGCGTGTGGGAGACACCAGGAGGCTTTGTCCTCCAACGTCAGCCCGACACAGAGACTGGCAGGGACTCCCAGCATGCACTGCGGAGGCCTTCGTGCTCAGGGATGTGTGCCCAGTGGGTTTCAGCCTCTGGGGCCGAGTGGAGTCACGAGGTGCTTTTCCTCCCAGGGTGTATGTCGAGAACTGGCTGCCGGTCTCCTATGTCTCCTATTACCTCCCCTGTCCAGAGATCTTGTAAGTACGGGGCTAGGGCGGTGGGGACCTGTGGGGCAGTTGGGCAGACAGGGTAGTTCTCAAGGCCACTTTGTTCCTGGGACCTGAGCTCAGGGTTGTGGTAAGTACAGTGGCATCTAGGTCATTTATGGGCTACTGCAATGTGGAGTGGAATTCTCGTTGAGTCTTCGAGCATCCTCCCACCACACACAGTCTGGACGTGGGACACAGCTCTGAGTCGCACTTGTGACATCTGTAAAATAGCACGGTAGAGTGCCTCTCCTGGGCCACTGCGTGTTTAACTGGATGACACCTGAGAGCCTGGTAGTGGCCCTGGTCCATAACAGGTGCTCAGTGAACAGTGCTTTTAGGACTTGATCTTTTTGCTCAGTTTTGGGTCCTGTATGGATTCAAGGAACAGACAACGTGCGATTGGCCAGTCACATAATGACTCTGATATCCTGACAGTTAAAAAAGTGGGTTGGGGGGCCAGCAAGTGCTGGACTCCCACATGGCCGACCACGTCTCGGACCTGGTGGCTTGCTTTCTCACTTCTCTCTCTCTGTGTGTCTCTCTGATCAAACTGGAAAATAATAATGATCATAACAATAAATAAAGTTAAATAAAATAATTATTTTTTAAAAAAAGTGGGTTGGGGGGCCAGCTGGTGGTGTGGTAGTTAAGATGGCTGGATCTCATATGGCCAATCATGCAGTTGAGTCCTAGACCCAGCTGCTTGAAAAACACAGTGGGCACACGTGCATATATATATGCCCAAAATCCTGAGAGGAGAATGGAGGACAAGGATTGCGGTGTGGCCCTCCTACCCCAGCGTGTGGGGGGTGCTTTCACGCTCTCTCTTTCCCTGTCTCTCTCCAATGAGCGCATGCACCCTGTAGCAAATTGAAAAAACAGCGAGAGGGTTAGAACACTCTCAGCAGTGCATCTTGGTGGCCCCAGGGCCTTTGTTTCCTCGATGGCTCTAAAGGAAAGCTGAGCATCCAGATTATAGGCCACTACTCAACAATGAGGCATGTCTTAATATTATAAACACAAATTATAGCAAATTAGGAAACTGGAAAACAGAAAAGATGAAAGAAAAAGAAAACCCTGTCATCCCATGTACTCTCACCTCTCTGAATTGTATTCTAACTCCCAAGTTTGTTGTTGGCTTGTTTGCTGTGCCTTTTTTATTTTTTTAGGTGGGGGAGAGATTTTTGTTTTAGGGTGTGTGTGCTCACTGGAGAGAGAGAGAGACAAAGAGATACAAAGTGAGAAATCACCCCCCAGGGGGTTGGCCACGCTGCAATCCCTTCTCCTCCATTCTCCTCTTGGGATTTTGGGCACACATGCACATGTGACCAGCATGAGTTTTAAGCCACCTGCTCTGGGACTCGAACCGTGGTCGATTATGTGGGAGTCCAGTGACATAACCATTATGCCATCTGTTGGTCCCTGTTGTGCTTTTTTAAAGTTCTTTTCTTTATTTCTTCCATGAGAGAGAGAGACACAGAGACAGGCACCCCTAAAAGGGTCCTCACTCTGCGATTTTTCCCCAGCGTCAGCTGGCCTGAGTCACAGGTACGCCACCTGGCATGGCCAGGAAGGTCCATGGATGTGAACCCAGAATCCTTGGCATGTGGGTCCACCACCTGGCCCGTTCGCTGTTCTTTCCAGTTGAACAGGGTACATATTTGCATAGCTTTCTAAGCAAAATAGCCTGCTTGCTGTTGAATGCCATTACTTTTCGCATTTTTCACCCTGTTATCCCAGAACTAAGTTGCTTTCTCTGTGAGTGACCCCGCTCTGTCACTATTGTCTTACTCCATGAGGCTGGCTTCCAGTTCCTCCTCGCCCTTCTTTACCAACACCTGTTGGGCATGGAGGGGTCTCCAGTTCCCCAGTGCTCTAAATTAGTTTGTGATGAGCAGCTGTGAGGACGTAACCCTCACTCCATCTTAGATATCAGTTCCTGCAGATACGTTCCCTTCCTAGGCCAGAGCAGGTGGCAGGTTCTTGACTCAGCTCAACAGGCTTTGTTCCGGAAGGATTGTAAGTCATCACACCCTCATGCAGATACCCCTGGCTCAGCAGCACCCACTCAGACCACCCTCACATTACCCTGGACTGGCGCTGGGACTATGAGGTGCTACAAAAATTAAAAAAAGAACCCACCTTGCTGGTTTGAGAGGCAGGAAACACCGTCTGCCTGGCTTCGATTCATTTCTTTGATTCCTAGTGATACCCCCATTCCCCACGCCTTCCTGTGAGTTAGGTGTCCTCCGTGAGATGCACGCGGTGCCACCTTCTGGCTCTGGTCTGCTGTGATTTCTCTGTCGTTCCCTTTGGCCAAGAACATCTGCTATGCTCTTTTTTTTTTCTTTCTATTTTCTTTGGAGAGGTTTTTGCTATAGGGCGCGTGCACTCACCAGAAAGACAGAGAGAGACAGAGAGACAGAAAGCGAGAAATCACCCCCCCAGGGGGGATGGTCACGCTGCAGTCCCTTCTCCATTCTCCTCTCGGAATCTTGGGCACACACGCACACGCACCCGGTGTGAGTTTTAAGCCACCGGGTCTGGGACTTGAACCGCGGTCGACTACATGGGAGTCCAGCGACATAGCCATTACGCTAACTGCTGGTTCCCTCCTCCGTTCTCCTCTTGGGATCTTGGGCACGCACGCACATGTGCCCCGCTGTAGTTTAAGCCACTGGGTCTAGGACTCGAACCGTGGTCGGCTACATGGGAGTCCAGCGACATAGCCATTATGCTAACTGCTGGTCCCGTGCTATGCTCTTGTTTTCTTTCCAGTTTGCCTTTTGGTTTTACTGAATTACTTTTTTTTTTTTTAAGGTTTTTGTTGTAAGGTATGTGCGCTCACTGCAGATGGTGTCGTGGTTACATTGTTGGACTCCCAAATGCTTGATTACAGTTTGAATTCCGGACCTGGGGCCTTGAAAGTCATGCCAGCCACGTGTGCATGAGTGCCCAAGATCCCAGAAGGAGAATAGAAGAGATGGGATTGTGGCGTGAATATCTCTCTTAGGGGGTGATTTCTCACTTTCCTTCTTACTGTCTCTGTCTCTCCAGCAAGTACATGTGCTCTATAACAAAAAACTTAAAAAAAAAAGAAAAAAATAATTAGTTAAAATGGTAAATGCTGGGGCTGGTAGGTGGTGTGGTGGTTAAGGTACTGGACTTCTACATGGTCGACCGTGGTTCAAGTCTCAGACCTGAGGCTTGCTTTCTTACTCTCCCTCTCTGGTCAAATTGAAGAATAATAAACAAACAAACAGATAAATTGAATTAAATACTTACTTAAAAAATAAAATAAAATGGTAAATGTTATGTTTAGCACATATGTATATACACACACTTTTTTTTTTTTTTCATTTTTGCTATAGTGCACATGTGCTCACCAGAGAGAGAGAGAGTGAAGAATCATCCTCCAGGAGGGTTGGCCACGCTGCAGTCTTCCCTCCTCCAGTCTCCTCTCAAGATTTTGGGCATGCATGCACACGTGTCCAGTGTGATTTTTCAAGCCCCCAGGTGCAGGACTTAAACTGCTCAATCAGCCATGTGGGATCCAGGGCCTTAACCTCTACACTACCTGACAGTTTACTGCAAACAAACAAACAAACAAACAAAACAAAAAAACAAATCCATAGACTAAAAAGGTAGGGAAACTCAAGGAGACTCAGGCCATCTCGCTCTGTGTGACGTATTAAAAACTCTGAAGCCAGCCGGCCGTGCCATCTGGGGCCTGGGGGCTGACGCAGTCCTCTTCTGCACTGGCTGACACGTTGGCTGGCAGGCCTCACTTCCACCCCTGCGGTAACACGGCAACACCGAGTGGTTTATTGTCCTGCTTTCATGAGGGAGGACCCCCAACCTGTGGGCCCACGCCCCTCCCAGCTGGTGGTGAACTGGAGGTGAGCTGGCCTGACCCTGCAGCCCACCACCTCCTTCTCAAGGACTCTTCTTACTTTTGGCTGTGGAGGTGAGCAGACGTGGGCAGCGTGGCCGCCGGGAGGTGGCCGGGATGCCTGGCCGCCCGGGCCCGTCCTGCTGCTGATGGCCGGGAGCTCTTGCTCACAAGCCGTGTGGCGACTTTGGTTGCCCTTTTTACAGGCGAGGAAAGGCGGGCGTGCCAGTTGGGCTTCCGCTAGAGAAACAACCAGTAAGAGCCAGGGAGGCAGGGAGGCAGGTGGGCCAGCGGACCGGTAGCTTTCCCTCCAGGAACTGGCCTGTCCGGGCCCAGCCTCATGGGCCAGGGAGGCAGGTGGGGCAGGCTTGCGTGGGCCGGTGCCCTCAGGACCGCACGCTGCAGTTTGCGGAGAGGTCTCTTCAGAGAAAGCTCAGTTCTGTTCGCAAGGCCTTTCAGCAGATGGGATCAGTCCCACCCAGGCTGTGGATATGGTTGAAAACCCGTTAGCCTTGGAGCCAAGCAGCTCTGGGTTCGGATCACGGCCTGGCCACTTACTGACCTTGGATAGGCCACCTTGGTAGGAGCCCCTGTCCCTCTATAAAGCGGGCAGAGCTGCGGGAAGATCTGAGGGTCTCCATGTCCCTGAGGGTACTGGGTATACCCTCCCTGCAGCCCCACACTGATGGCTCCTTCGGTTTCTCACCAGCACCATGAAGCTGCAGGACCGAGGGGAGAAGCCATTCCAGCCGGGGGCACGGTAAGGAGATGTCATGTCCTGCTCTGAGGCCCTGGGCTGGGAGCCGCCTCCCTCACCACTGGCCCCTCTCGGTTACAGGCCACAGTACCCTCAGCCCAAGCTGCTGGAGCACAGGTAGGCGCTGTGGAGACAAAGGCCTGGTGGGGCTGGAGGGAGTGGCCGAGGTCAGGATGGCCTGGGGCCCAGTGACCTGGGATGTGGAAAGACATAGGCTGGACGTCAGGGACCCAAAGCCCCAGCCCAGCTCCGTTGGTAGTTGCATGACCTCGGGTAGGTCACCCAGCTGTTCGGCCTTTTCCTGCACAGGTGGATAATCTTAATACCCACCTCACAGGTTCGAGGACCAGGTGAGCCGGTGCTGTGACGAGCTTGGTCCGTTGTTAAAGCTGAGGTGGCCGTGGCTTTGTCAATGCACCGGGTGCTCAGTGCACGGGGAGCATCGGGCCCTCTGGACACGCAGTGCGTGTGAGGCCCACCCCCACCCACCCCCATCCCTGGAGACTGCCGCTCTTATGCCAGGAAGCATGGCCCAGAGGCAGGGACCACGGTGCTCCAGAACACACAGCAGGGGAGGCAGGGCCGTGAGGAGACCTAGGCTTTTGCAAGGAGAAGGTCTCCGTGCCCACTGCCTGCCCTGCTGCCTGCCAGGCCCTCGGAGCTGCTGACGCTCACGCCCTGGCTGGCGCCTATCGTCTCCGAGGGAACCTTCAACCCGGAGCTTCTGCAGAGCATCTACCAGCCTCTGAACCTGACGGTGGGGGTCACGCTGTTTGCCGTGGGGAAGTGAGTAGCGACTGGGCGGGGCGGGGTCTCCTGGAGCCATGGCACTCATGGTCTGGGGGAGACGGGACCTGCACCCTGGTCTGCTGGGCATAGGGAGGCTCTGAGCAGGAGCTGTGCCGGTGGAAGGCGCAGAGTGACAGTGGAGGGGGCTTCCTGGGGGCAGGGGGTCTGGCCCTGGCATGGAAAGGAAGGAGAGGGAACCGCAGGCGCTTAGTCAGGGGCCGCTGTCCCCACTCCTTGCTCCCCTGCTCCTCTCCTCTGCGTTCCCCCTCCCTGGCCCTGCCTGGCCAACCCTTTAGGGATCTCTGCCTGGCAACTTCCCTCTGGTCCCTTCCTGGGACTCCTGAGACAGGGACCAGGATGGGGCCCCAAGGCCTAAAGCACTGACCAGATGACAAATGCACCACCCGTGGTCAGATGACCTCCCCTGTCCAATCAGCTGTGGCCTGGGGCGGTCCGTGCGGTGTGCACGTGGTGCACTGACCCCAGCGCAGCCATGACTTGCCTGCCCTTGACCCAGCCACTTACCTGCTTCTTGGCCACTTCCTCGTTCTGACCTCGGGGTGTCTGTCTATAAAACAGGCACGTTTATAGGCAGTGTGTGAAGCGCCAGAAGAGAGAGAGCTCTTAGAGCGCTGCCTGGCACTTACTGAGTGTTTAGTAGAAGTTTGGTTTGGGGCCAGCTGGGGGTGTGGTGGTTAAGGCGGCTGTGTCCCCCATGGCCAGCTGCATGGTTTGAGTCCTGGACCCCATGGTTTGAAAAACTGGGCGCATGTGTATGCATACCCCAAATCCCAGAAGGAGGAATGGAGGAGAAGGGGTATGGTATGATAGCCCCCCAGGGGGGTGCTTTCTCACTTTCTTTCTCTCCCCCCCCTTTTCTCTCTTCAGTGAGCACACATGTCCCCTAGCAAGTTGGGAAAAAAAGTTAGCTTTATGAGAGTCAGCATCGGGCCCTTCTTATAGTGTAAAGAGCTCAGTACTAGAATTGTGGAAATCTGACCTCGAGGACCCCAAGGGCCAGGCCTCTAGAGGTGGGGAGCTGGCCTGGCCAACTGCAGAGGGGACCCTGGCGGCAGCCCTGCTGGGCAACAGTGAATGAAGGGGTTGCAATCACCAGGTACACCAGCTTCGTCCAGCGCTTCCTGGAGTCAGCTGAGAAGTTCTTCATGTGCGGTTATCGGGTACACTACTACGTGTTCACCCACGACCCCACGGCCATTCCCTGGGTTCCGCTGGGCCCTGACCGGCTCCTCAGCGTCATCCCCATCCATGGTCACTCCCACTGGAAGGAGATCTCCACGCGCCGGATGGAGACCATCAGCAGGCACATTGCCGAGAGGGCACACCGGGAGGTGGACTACCTCTTCTGCCTCGATGTGGACATGGAGTTCCGGAACCCCTGGGGCCCTGAAACCCTGGGGGACCTGGTGGCTGCCATTCACCCTGGCTACTACACTACACCCCGCCGGCACTTCCCCTACGAGCGGAGGCCTCTTTCCACAGCCTTTGTGGCAGATGACGAGGGGGACTTCTATTATGGTGGGGCAGTCTTTGGAGGGCAGGTGGCCAAAGTATACGAGTTTACCAGTGGCTGCCACATGGGTATCCTGGCAGACAAGGCCAATGGGCTCATGGCAGCCTGGCAGGAGGAGAGCCACCTGAACCGCCGCTTCATCTGGTACAAGCCGTCCAAGGTGCTGTCCCCTGAGTACCTCTGGGATGACACGAAGCCCCAGCCGCCCGACCTGAAGCTGATCCGCTTCTCTACGCTGGACAAGAATATCAAGTGGCTAAGAGACTGACGCCCAGGGGGCCCCCCATGGGTGGGGACCCAGAGCTCTGCAGCACCTGCACCACAGCCTCACTGCTCCACGCACCGCGTTCTGCCCACCTGTCAGAACTCAGCTGGGAGATGGGTGTGGAAGGGCACTGGGCACTGCTCGGAGCTCCATCAATGGGGGTACAGAGACCACAGCATGGTGTGGCCCAAGAGTAGCTGATAGGCAGGAGGAAGGCGAGGGATTCCGAAAGGCAGAGCCTGGGCTGTCGTGTCTAGCTCAGCGAAAGTGGCAGCATTCTGCTCTGCTGGTTCCATTTTGTTGCATGTAACCCCAGAGTCACACTTCCAAAGTCACAGCGTGAGAGGAGCCCGGACCCTGTCCCTGCATGATGGTGTCCCCCAGCACACGTGGCCAGTTCCTCACTCAAGACCTCAGAGCCAGCCTGTGAAGTGGACCAAGTCTAGGCGTCTCCGCTCTCCTGCATCCCAGGCGGGGCCACTCCTGGGGACCAGCACGTCCTTGGTGAGAGTTCTGGGCGGTTTTTAGTAAAGGTGTGTGCTGGTCTCTGACCAGGGGTTTTCCACCTGACGTCTGAGTATGTCTTATTGGCACAGGGTACAGGCGGTTCAGGGTAGGGGTGGCCTCCAGTTACTCCAGAAACTCTGGTCCGAAGCACAGTGCTGCAGATTTCATTCCAATCCTGGGAGTCCGGGAAGGAGGCGCACTGGCAGCTCTTCTGCACTCCCAGCTACTGTTGAGGGGGCAGAGCCCCTCAGCTGGAGAGCCCTGGGGGCTCCTGGTCCTGAGCACAGGACCTATCTCGGCCATCCTGCATCTGAGGTGCCCTTGGCCCTGTAGGCATGGGCCTCCAAGGAGTGGTGCAGCTTGGGAATGGGGCGCCTGCCTGGGTGGCAGAGGGGGGCGGGTGTGGGTTCAGGCATGGTGGCCTGGTGCCCACTCCTGGGGCAGCAGCATCTTTTCTATGGAAGGAAGAGCCAGAAGGCAGATTGGCGATACTTGTCATGCCCGCGCAGGAGGCACCACCCACCTAGTCACCCCAGTGTCGCTGGGGGCCAGTGCTGACCCCCTCTTCCTGCAACCTGTGGTTTGGCTGGCGAGCAGGGATAGGTCCCAGAGTGGGCAGAGTGACCAGTGTGAGGACACAGCCTGGGCTGGGGAGGACCCAAAGTAGGGGGCAGCCCTGGTTCTTCCTGGGTAGGAGATCAAGATGGAGACATGGCTTCCGTGTCCCAGCAGGGGGAGGACCTGCCAGAACTGCCCCTGGACCCAGCGGTGTGGTCTTTGCAGCAGGGCACTGCCTTCAACCGCTGCCTTTGGAGCAGAGGCCCCTGGAAGTGGTCCAGAAGGACTGAGAGGCGGCAACCCTGAGGCCCAGGCAGGATCAGCCTAGCAGGGAGCATGGTGCGCCCAGCTCATGTGCCCTCACGGGCTGGGAAGCACTGATCCATTTTCAATAGAGGAAACGGGCTTTGGGGATTCCACACACGGGCTTGCCTCCCACGGGGCCAGGCTGTGGCCCAGCAGTGGGCTTGAAGCAGCTCAGCTGATCCCAAAGGCTGTGCTCTGCACAAGGGCCCCCGAGGAGGTGGCCTCTGAACCCAGCCTGAAGGGGAGGGACACTGGGCAGGGTGCTCTGAAGGGCAAGGCTGGCTGGGGTCCCTGGGGAAGGAGGGTCCAGGAGGCTGGTGGTGGGGTACCTTTGGAGAGGGTATCTGGACCAGATCACCCAGGGCTCTGAGTGATAGACAAGGAGCTGGGGTCACCGGATCTGTCCCTGTAGGAGATGAAGGTGCACAAAGTGTCAGGCTCACGTCACCAGGCCGGGGAAAGGCCTGGGATCAGTGCAGGGAGAGGTGACAGTGAAGAACAATGTGTCCCGCACACACGGCTGGGCTGTCACTCAGCCCTGGGCCTTGAGGGCTGGTACCACTCCTCAGTGAAAAGCGGGGCAGAACCCTAGGAAGGGGTCCCATATCAAATGTCCACTCCCAGTACTTGCTCAGTTCTGGTCTTGGGGCCCCTCCTTCCAGGTTCCCATCAACCCCTTTATCTAGGGCTGCCACTAGGGACAGGCAAAGCCTTGTGTCCCTGAGTCCTGCCAGAGAAGACAAGGTTGGGGCTGGGGGCACCTGACTTTCCCTCCCAGTGTTCACTGCTGCTCCGCCTCCCCTGGCCCCAGCCGGCCCACAGCGGAGTCCTTGCAGGTGGCATCTGTGTACCGGGCTCTCTTCGCGCACTGGCACGGCTGTTCTCTCCTGGCTGGGATGCGGGTGGCCTAGGCTGGTGGGGAGCACAGAGCCGACTGCCAGGACCGAAGCACACGTGAGACCGACCTGCGGGGCACTAGGTGCAGGGCACTTAGAGCATGGCGCGTGCGCGCGGCAAGGCGGAGTCACGTGCACGCGGCCCCGCGCAGGCCCGTGGCGCGCGCTGGCCTTGGACCCGAGACCAGCTGCTCTCCCGGGCTTCCCGCGTCCCCGCGAAGAAGGGAGGCTCGAGCGCGCGCCCGAGCTCGCGCCGCGGGCCCGCC